TTCCAGACCAGCCTGAGCAAGAGCTCATCTTTACTAAAATTAGAAAAACTATCCAGACGTTGTGGTGGGTGCCTGTAGTCCCAGCTACCCGGGAGGGTGAGGCAAGAGGATCACTTGAGCCCAAGAGTTTGAAGTTGCTGTGAGCTGTGAGATGCCACGGTACTCTACTGAGGGTGACAAAGTAAGACTCTGTCCCCCCAAAAGGAAAAAGAGTAGTTAGAATAGTGCTTACATTCTTCCCACTGTAGACCTTACAATATGAAACAAGGCTTTTTTTTATGCTTATAGAATTGGTGTATTCCTTTCGATGTTTGGATCAGCCTTCAGCATTTTAGCCTTTCACTTCAGGGTCGTGACAAATTTCCAAGAGGTTCTTTAATGTGGCGGTTTTGTGTGTGTCACTTCCTCTGAGACGTCTTCGTCCTCTTTGTTACAAGCACTTTCTTCCTCCATGTTAAGTTTGCCTATATTAAGGTCTTCTGGTCAGTGTCAGCATTCCTGTGGTCAGCTGTTCCTGGTAAGACTTCCTTGATAATTAATTCTAATTTCACTTCCATTGTTACCAATTTTCATTTCTTTGTATCACTCTCATCTTTGTTGGCCAGTCCCTCTTTTGATCATCTGTTTTTTTACAAATGCCACATGGATTTTGTTGTTGTTGTGTTGTTGTTGTTGGGAGACAAGGAGATGACACAATTACATTCTTTGCTGTCTGTGCATGAACCGAAGATGAGATGCACAGTGAACTGATCAGTTATAGATACCGAAAGAAATGACACGAATAGTCACTATCTGTTGTTTATGTAGTGATTTGTGGGTTGACGAGTTAGTAGTGAACTCTATATTTTATGCAGCTATAGTTCATATGCCATGGTAACTGAAATTCGAATCATTTGTGGAAGACTGGTGTGACTGAATGAAGCGAAGGTAACTGAATTAGTGCATGTTGGAGCTGAGCAAAACAAGGGCTGCCTGTACTTGGATTTTACCCGTCTTGGCCATTATGCTGCGGTTCTCAAGGAGAGGGAGAGAGCATTTTATCTCTACATATATTATAAATCCTATAAGACTTCATTATTATTTTGCTTTTAACTCTCACTACCTTTAAAAGAGATCTGAATAGAGAGAAGAAAAGTCTTTGTATTTACTCACATGATTACCAGTCTGGTTCTCTTTTTTTCTTCTGTAGTGTGGGTCACTTTGATGAATTCTTCTACCTTTCAAATGTATAAAAAATATTTTGCCATCATCTTTGAAAGATGTTTTCACTGAGTTAAGATTTCTAGGTTCTCAACATTTTTTTCTTACTTTTTGGGTACTGTAAAGATGTGGTTCCACTGACTTGTGGGTTGCACTGTTTCTGAAATAAATTACCTTTTTTGTTCTTTTTCTTTTTGAGACAGAGTCTCACTATGTTGCCCTTGGCAGAGTGCCGTGGCATCATAGCTCACAGCAACCTCAAACTCTTGGGCTTAAGGGATTCTTTTGCCTCAGCCTCCCAAGTAGCTGTGACTACAGGCACCCCCCTACAACACTTGGCTATTTGTTGTTGTTGTAGTTGTTGTCATTGTTGTTTAGCAGGCCCTGGGCTGGGTTTGAACCTGCGAGCCTGGGTGCATGTGGCTGGAGCACTAACCACTGAGATACAGGCGCTGAGCCACCTTTTTCATTCTTAATGTATATGTTAAGTACACTGGCTGTTTTTAAGATTTTTCTCATCATTACTGCTCTATTTAATTATAAAATCAGTGTCATTCCTGGGTACCTTTTCATTAATTATCTTTTCTCCCCATCATGGGTTTCTATTTTGTTGCTCCTTTGTATACTTGGTAATTTTTTGTTGGATGCTAGGTATTTAATTTTTACCTTTTTGGGTTCTAGCTATTTTAATGTTTTCATAAATATTCTTAAACTTTGTTCTAGGAGGTAGTAAAATTGGAAATAGTCTGATGCTTTACTGTGTTAATTGTGTTGAGCTGAGCAGCCTGTAGTCTATGGCAGATTTTGCTGGTGCTCCCCTTCCAAGTACTTCCCTCAATGCCCGCTGGAAAGTTTCTCATGGTGGGTACACTATTCTCTGTGCTGTGTGGGTGCCAGGGTTTTTACTCTTGCTCATTTTGGATGGCTCTTTCCACTTTGATTTACTCCCATGCACTGGTCAGAACTCAGCAGGAGACCAAGGGAGTCTCTGATCTCTGCAGTCTTCTCTCTGTGTGCTCTTTTCTTGCTATGCCCTATGCCGTCCAGCTGCCTTGGCCTCCCTGGACCCTCAACTCCATCTCTTCCAGGCAAGGAGACTTCTAGGGTCTGTGTGAGTTCCTGCTCCCTGCTGCAGTCTGGAGGGAGTAGTCTATAGGCAGTAAGCTGGGCAATCAGAGGGCTCACATTGTCTATTGTCATCCCAGAGATGACTGTCCAGTGCTGGTTGGTGTCTAATGCCTAAAAACATTGCTTCATATATTTCATCCAGTTTTTTAGTTGTTTCGGGCTGGAGAGTACTAGGAAACTCAGTTTCTATTACTCCATCCTGTTCAGAAGCAGAAGACCTATTCATCTTTTTTTTTTCTTTTAAGTAGGACCACTCGAAATAATTTCTCAACATTGTTATTATTTTTGAAATTTGGACAACTCATGAAAGCATATTTACTTGTTCTCTGGCTTATTTCTCATCAGGGAGTAATGTGGTCATCGCATCACGTAAGTTTGACAGATTAAAATCTGTTGCGAGAGAACTGAACGCCAGCCTGCCTCCCAGCAGCCAGCCTCGAGTCACCCCCATACAGTGCAACATCCGGAACGAAGAGGAGGTGAGGCTAATGCATTTGTCCCTGTATTTGTATTGGCAGTTCGTGGTTCCTAAGCCCAGCTGTGCTCCAGGTTCTCCTACGGTAGCCACCTTAGGTGAGATGCACAAGGAGCAGAGCCTGTGAAGGAGATTCTTTTACTAATAATGATTTACTGAGCCAGTGACCTCAGGAGAAGAAGAGGGAGGGAAGCAAGAATGTGGACTCAGCTGGAGACTGCCTTTTGTCCTTTACGTCTTTTTTTTTGGCCACTGGCATGTGGTTTAACCCTTAAGTCATTTATTAATGTTCATTTTAACTTGACTTTATTGCTATCTTATTATTCTTGGGTGGTAGCTTACAAGTTAATGTTACTGAGGGCTGCCCTACTTAGGGGTGATCTAGGCACTTGGATATATCCTGTGATTAAAATTACCATTTTACCTTTATGTTCTGTGGGTACTGCATACTGGTGAATTACTCAGTGGGGTTGGACTTTTAGGTTTATCCATTGCTCATTTATTGAGGTACTTGATGTTACTGTTCACTGTGGGAGACTACAAGCTTTGTTATACTTCTAGAGCAAGCAATCAGTCCTGATAGCAAGTTAGGTTATTAAACTTTTAATGTTTTTACCTTCTATGTTCTTCCTTAGGTGAATAATTTAATCAAATCTACGTTAGCTATTTATGGTAAGATCAATTTCTTGGTAAACAATGGAGGAGGCCAGTTCCTTTCCCCTGCTGAACACATCACTTCAAAGGGGTGGCATGCTGTGATTGAGACCAACCTGACAGGCACCTTCTACATGTGCAAAGCAGGCAAGTGCCCCGTTGATGTTCACGAATCAATGGGTCTTGATTTAGCGATTGTGGAGAATCCTGTTAGGAACCTGGGAGCTCCATATTGTTGATGTTATTTCCTTGATTTTCTCACATACAACATAGGAATGTAAATTAGTACATTTCTGGATGGTAATTTGACAGTGTTACAAAATGTGGATATCCTTTTGATCTTATAATTTCTTTTTTTTTTTGAGACAGAGTCTCAAGCTGTCCCCCTGGGTAGAGTGCCGTGGCATTACAGCTCACAGCAACCTCCAACTCCTGGGCTCAAGCGAGTCTCCTGCCTCTGCCTCCCAAGTAGCTGGGACCACATGCGCCCGCCACAACGCCCGGCTATTTTTTGGTTGCAGCCATCATTGTTGTTTGGCGGGTCCGGGCTGGGGATTCGAACCCGCTACCTTAGGTGTACGTGGCTGGCGCCTTGGCCAGTTGAGCTATAGGTGCCGAGCCTGATCTTATAAGTTTATTTCTAAGAATTTATCATGAGAAAATGAGTAATGATCTGTATGAAGATTTAGCTATAAAGTTGTTCACAAAAGTAGAGAAAACTCAGACCTGATGCAGTGCCTCACAACTGTAATCCTAGCACTCTGGGAGGCCAAGGTGAGTGGATTGCCTGAGCTCACAGGTTCAAGACTAGCCTGAGCCAGAGTGAGACCTTTTCTCTAAAAATAGCCAGCAGGGCAGTGCCTGTGGTTCAGTGGGTAGGGCGCCAGCCCATATACTGAGGGTGGTGGGTTCAAACCCAGCCCCGGCCAAACTGCAGCAAAAAAAATAGCCAGGCGTTGTGGTGGGTGCCTGTAGATACTCTGTCTCTAAAAAAGAAGAGGTTACTCAGGTAGTAGCATGGATTGGAAAGGGCTAAGACTGGAATGAGGGCAGTCAGTGAAGAGGTTAGCTTGGTGAAGCAGCTAACATGACAAGGCCTATGTCAAAGCAAAGGCAGCTGGTGAGGCCAGTACAAGCTGGCAGTTCTTTTCAGGGCTTACCACGTGTAGTCAGTACGCCAAGCACACCTCAGTCATCTCAGTTAAACTTCGTAACAGCCCTATGAGTTAGCTATTCCCAGTGTCCTTTTACAGATGAGCAAATTAAGGCTCAAAAGAATTTGATTCCTTATCTAAAGCACACAGTTAGTAAGGGCTCAGAAATAATCCTATACTCTTAACCATTTTCCCATCCAGCCTCCTGAAAGCGAGGTTCTTGCTATTGCCACTTGACACTAAGTGACTTGCCAATGTCAACTGCTCTAAGGGAATAGCTTGGGTTGATATCCAAATCTGACTCCAGAATCAATGCTCTTAGCCACTGTACTAACTTGGAGCCAAAGGATAGATTTGAGATCATTTTAATATAGGTTGGCAAACCAATTAGATACAGAATTATAAAATAGATATGGATGACTCCTAGGAAATTAGGCATCATTCACTGAAATAGAGAGTAATTGCATGAAGAAGGGTTTCAAAAGAGCATGGGAGGAGAAAGAAGATGACAAAGTCATTTCTGGACATACTACACTTCAGAGACCCACAGACACTTAAGCCATCCAGTGGGGAGTTTCTGAGGCCCTATATGTGGACTAATAAAAGATGTCACCTTAGCATTACAAAGGCAAAATGGCATTATGGTTAAGAGTGCAAACTCAGTCAGACTGCTTGCGTTTAAATCCTTACTCCAACACTTATAAACTGTGATACTAAGCAAGTTCCTCATCTCGTCTAATCCTCAGTCTCTTCAGCTTTAAGATGGGGATCAATAAAAGAACCTCCTTCCCAGGCTGTAAGGGAGGCGTGAGTCTTTAGGTGGGTGGCTGTGTGCATAATACAGATTCTGTTTCTATTAAAGAAGGGGAGAATGAGTATTGGGAGACAACTGGTGGTCTCTAAGCCAAGCTTCATAACTCAGTGCTTTCACTCCATACAGGCCGTCAGTCTTACCAATCCAAGGTTCCTTGCTAGTAACTGTTAATTAACATTTTGCAGGGTCTAGATTCAGCCATGATTTCTATTAGCTAGAACCGAATTGAAGAATACACAGGTGATTCTTAGAAAGTTGAAACCTCAGAATCTCTCTCTAGGAGGTACCTCAATGGTGCAAATCATTACATGTCTTTAAGTGATGGAAACAGGTTTTCATTTTGATATCCAGTAAGGGTGATTATCATTCCTAAAAGCTTCAATCCTGAAAGAATCAAAGAAAACTTTCAGGTCTTTGACTTTTCTGTCATTGAAGTGTTTAATAAAAATGTCCACTTTGTGGAAATGTTCATATGGTGTGACCACCCTGAGTACCAGTTCCGTGTTGAGCGCTGCCTTCACAGAGCTCCTGGACAGATTTTGCCCTTCCGTGTTTCCCAGGCCCTTGGGGGGGGGCGTAGTTCCCATGGATATGGACATGGAGGGGCTTTTACTGTCCTCAGTCAAAGCGGTCCTGGAATCACACTTAACTTTTGTGTAGTGTACATGAATTTGACTCAGCCATGTTGAAGAAAAAATGTTTAAATCTGTTGAAATAATTCTTGATAGATTATCAGCTAATATTTTACTAGTTCAATATCTTCTAGGTTCCAGACAGAAAAGCATTAAACTTTAAAAAGGACTTCAGAAGCAACAAGAAAGACAATACTCTTGAATCTGGGTTCTACCATTGGAGTCTGAGTTCTGTAGCAGTCAACAGGATAAAGAGGGTGGAGAGCTGGCCCAGTGTGTTGGCAGTTGCCTTGATTGTCACACGGCCAAGATAAGGTCCACAATTGCCTCCTTAACGAGGAAGTGATTTGCTGCACCTTAAATAGAGAGGGAGGGCTACGTGTAGAAAAGCCGTAAAATAGAGCTAATTAAACACCACCGTGGTCCAGCATAGCTGGAGTGATTTTGTTTGTTTCTACCCAGTGTCTGTTTGTTAAGCTTTTACCCAGCGGGAAGGACGGTTACTTCCTGGTTCTCTTTTGGATCCTCAAGGGGCCTGTGTTGCAACACGACCAGGACACATACGTGCACTGTCACCCTTTTACCTCCACACATCAAGGAGCAAAGGTTATGTGCAGTGGCTTGAAACGACAAGCCATACACAAATAAAACTCTGCATCGTAAGAGAGTCCAAAGATGGCTATTTTTAAAGAAGGAAAAGGGAGACTTTAGGAGATATGTTGAAAGAAGAAGCTTTATGAAGTTGTTATATGTCAGGCTTTAAGAGTGTTATTGGGATAGTTATGTGAATTTTGAGAAAGTAGCAAGTTCAGAAGAACACTGGTAATATTACTATCTATAAATTTTTATTTTAATTTTTTTATTTTTTGAGACAGAGCCTCAAGCTATCCCCTTGGGTAGAGTGCCGTGGCATCACAGCTCACAGCAACCTCCAACTCCTGGGCTCAAGTGAGTCTCCTGTCTCAGTCTCCCAAGTAGCTGGGACCACAGGTGCCCACTACAACACCCAGCTATTTTTTTTTTTTGGTTGTAGCCATGATTGTTGTTTTGGCGGGCCTGGGCTGGATTCAAACCTGCCACCTTGGGTGTATGTGGCTGGTGCCTTAGCCACTTGAGCCACAGGTGCTGAGCCAACTGTCTGTAAATTTTTAAAGAGTAAATAAGCCTATTAGAATTTAGCAACAGAGAAATATATTTTATGAATTCACATTAGGCCACTCTTACTATTCAAGATAGTTCTTCAAAAATTATGTTTTTTCCAAGACCAGTTGCTTAGAGATAATCCTGAATGATCTGAAGACATTTCAGAGGAATTACCATTTTAAAAAATTAGATTTATACTCCTTTCTACTAATACCAATATTAATGCATATAATGTTGCTGTCTGAAAAAGATACTGTTCACAAGAAGTAATAGTGTGATGATTCATTCCACCAAAAACAAACAAAAAGGAATACAAGGCTCGTAGTTTTTTGGCTTACTTTTATAAATAGGGCCTTTCGTTTTTAGTCCTTCTTTTTCTTTTTCTTTTCTTTTTTTTTTGAGGCAAAGTCTCACTTTGTCACCATTGGTAGAGTGCTGTGGCGTCTTAGCTCACTGCAACCTCAAACTCTTGAGTTCAAGTGATCTCTTGCCTCAGCCTCCGAAGTACCTGGGACTACAGGTGCCAGCCACAACACCTGGCTATTTTTTACAGAAGGGGTCTCGCTCTGACTCAGGCTGGTCTCAAACCTGTGAGCTCAGGCAATCCACCCACCTCCCAATTGCTGGAATTACAGGTGTGTGCCACCATGCCCAGCCCTAGTTTTAATATAATAATAATAGCAAAAAATTGAAAACCATGTAAATATTCTAGAGTATTAGTTGAGTGAAGTTTTATATATCTCTATGAGAAATATGCAGCTATTAAAAATCTTGGTATAAATATGTTCTTCTTATTGTTGGGGATTCATTGAGGGTACACAGAACCAGGTTACACTGGTTGCTTTTGTTAGATAAGGACCCTCTTATAACTGTTTCCTGCTGCCAAAAGATGTACCCCACCCGCCCTTCCCTTTCTCAGCGCTCCCCATCCCCCTACCCCCCACTGTGTACTAGGATCTCAGAATTGAGTACATAGGAGTCTTATTTCTCCATTCTTGTGATGCTTTACTAAGAATAATGTATTCCGGCTTGGCGCCTGTGGCTCAAGTGGCTAAGGCGCCAGCCACATACACCTAAGGTGGCG